TTTACGTTCCCATTACAGTGAATAAACAACTACACTGATAAGATTTGCAGGGGTTCTCCAGCTTTCCTTTACCTCTGTGGGGTGAAATCCCTCCAAGGGGATCCCTCCTGGCACTGAGGGATCTGAACTGGGGGAAAGGGTGATTCAGGTATAATGCTTGGTTTTCTGAGCTCCACAAGGTTTCTTCCGCTTCCTCATTGTGGTCCAGAGCTTTCTCGGGCTGTTTTTATTAGTTTGTAGTTTGTTATTGCTTTGTTGTTTTGGGGAGAGATGAACATTGGCAGCTCCTATCCCTCCATCTTGCACGTGTAATACCTCTATACAATATTAACTTTAAGGATGAAAGACTGTTTACAGCTTAGATGTTTATATGTTAGAATTTTTATGTGTGTTATTATAAAGGGATTTTCGTGTAAAATTGGACATAGTAGTCACCATACTTGGTACTTACTTTTGCCAAGTATTTCTTACTGAACTATTTATATTTAAAAATTTATAAGAGGGACACCTAGGTGGCTTAGTTGGTTAGACATCACACACTTGATTTCAGCTCAGGTCATGATTTCGGGGTTGTGGAATCAAGCCCCACTTCAGGCTTTACACTGGGCATGGAGCCTGCCTGAGATCTTCTACCTCACTCTTGGCCCCTCCCCCCATTTTCTCTCCCTCTCAAATAAATAAATAAATAATTTATTAGTTTAATTGTGCTTCTAATTATTGAAAAATAAAAGTAGGGTTGCCTGGATGGCTCAGTTAGCTAAGCATCTGCCTTTGGCTCAGGTCATGATCCCAGGATCCAGGGATCAAGTCCCACATCAGGCTTCGGGCTCACTGGGGAGTCTGTTTCTCCCTCTGCCTCTCCCCCTGCTTGTGTGCTTTCCCTCTCTCTGTCAAATAAATAAATATTTTAAAATAAAACAAAAGGCTATTAAAAGAGAGGAATTTTTTATTGGCCAGTTCATAAAGTAGGAGAGGTCTTAGACCCAAGATTTCAGAGCAGGAGAAAAATGATAGCACTAGACCTTCTGCTTTCAACCATGACAGAGTAATAGGAACCAGATTTACTCTCCCACCTAAGTAACAAACAATTAAACAACTTAAAAAGCAGAGAAAATATATTAAAAGATAATTTTCAAGAAATTGGATAGCAGGGATAAAGGACAGTTATCTCCGAGAAATGGTGAACCATGGACATCGATGACCCAGGATTGCTCCAGTTTACTGCCTTAGAGTTTCCAGGCCATGGCACAGGAAAGGGGGAGTCATGGCAGAGCCAGATGGATACCGTTAGTTAAGGAGAAAGAATGATCAGAGACACCGACACAGCTAGTGCTGGAGAGGAGAGAGCTGCACAGAGAGAGAAGTCTCTAGATCAGTAGAGAGGCACCCTGCATATAAGGAAACTGTAACTACTGGAAGATTAGAGGGAATGTTTTTCACACAGAGTCAGGAGTAGTGCCTTTTCCCACCAGCCAGATTGGAAAACAGACTAGTTGATAGGATACTGGGTAGTACTTAGAAGGGTCTTGTTTCACTGGTGGGGAATACTTAGCCCTGGACTGAACACTACTCTTAGTTTACCTAATAATTCTTAAAAGCAACATGTAAGAGGATCAAATTACTTCCAAGCAACTTAACTGCCTCCTAAAACAAATCTCAAGAATATTTAAGTCAATACCAAAATACACAGCACAATGAATTTGGGTTTTTTTTCCCCTAATTTTTCTCAGTTTCTGTTCTGAAAATGTGGGAGGTTGCGCAGTATAATGAAAATAATATTAGATTGAGGGGCGCCTGGTTGGCTCAGTGGGTTAAGCCTCTGCCTTCAGCTCAGGTCATGATCTCAGGGTCCTGGGATCGAGCCCTGCATTGGGCTCTCTGCTCAGTGGGGAGCCTGCTTCCCTCTCTCTCTCTGCCTGCCTCTCTGCCTACTTGTGATCTCTGTCAAAAAAATAAAATCTTAGGGGCGCCCGGGTGGCTCAGCTGGTTAAGCGGCTGCCTTCGGCTCGCGTCATGATTCCAGGGTCCTGGGATCGAGCCCCACATCGGGCTCCCTGCTCAGCAGAGAGCCTGCTTCTCTCTCTCCCCCTCTCCCTGCCGCTCTGCTTACTTGTGCTCTCTCTCTAGCTCTCTGTCAAATAAATAAATATTTTTAAAATAAAAAAAAAATAAAATAAAATCTTTTAAAAAAAGCTGAAAAATATTCCATTGTGTGTACTTACTATACTTTGTCTATTAACTTATTGATGGACATTTTTAGGTTGTTTCCATATCTGATGTATTGGGAATAATGCTTCAGTAAACATAGGAGTGTAGGTACCTCTTCCAGATCCTGATTTTCAATACCCAGGTGCCCCTACTTACTTGAAATTCTTAACACACGTTTGAGCACACATTTTGTGAAGTATTGCATATGTTAATTGGCTTAATTATAACAATTACTTCACAATGTATATGTATATCAAAACATCAAAATGTATACCTTAAATATACAGAATTTTAAAAATACCTAGAAGCATTCCATTGATTTCTACATCTTGTACAAACTACCATTCCATTCTCTTGATACATTATCCAGTTTTTTAAAAACACTTGTCCAGGATCACTGCCTCCATTTCTTTACCTTCTTATTCTCTGCCTAAATGTATCCAGTTTGTTTTTTTTCCACTTAATTAAAATTTCCTTGTCCAAGGTCAGCAACAACCTAGCCACATCCTATAGCTTTTCTTTGCAATATCTGGCATTATTAACCACTCTCTACATATACTTTAAATTTTTTTTAAAGATTTTATTTATTTATTTGACAGAGATCACAAGTAGGCAGAGAGGCAGGCAGAGAGAGGGGGGGAAAAGCAGGCTCCCCGCTGAGCAGAGAGCCCGATGCGGGACTCGATCCTAGGACCCTGGGATCATGACCTGAGCCGAAAGCAGCAGCTTAACCCACTGAGTCACCCAGGCGCCCCATACTTTAAATTTTTTATTTTGCACACAGTACTATCCAGGTTTGCCTCCTAATATTCTCATATCTCCATTCACCTTAGTTATCTCCTCTTCGTCCTTCCTGTTGTAGATGTTTGATAAGACTGTCTTTGGCTTTTATTCCTGTAATCCCATTTTCTTGTCACTTCAGCTCTTATTTTTACCGTATGACCCCCAAATCTTTCTCACAACTGAACTTCATACAAAATCTCACACTTATGTAGGGAACATTTTCTTTTCAAATTATAGGTGTTTTGGCAAGTTTATATAATAGCTCATGAAAAGAATGACTTTTGTATTTGTTTTTTAAAGACCACGTCTGTTTTATAATGCACTAAAGCATTATCGTCTTTCAGAGTTTAAGAGGCTAAATAAAATTTAACCAAAAATTGAATTAGGCCTGTGAGCTAGGAATTTCCTCCTTAGTACTTATTCAAGTACCCTGGGAGGAAGACTTACTGGATATTCGTTTCTTACTTTTTACAGGAGCTATTCAATTAAATTTTCTCTTGTGTTTTTCTTCCATTTGAAGCCTTTTCCATGTGCTTGTTTATAGCCTTTACCTGAGGAAATGTTATTACCAATAGATAGCATATGTACCAGAACAATGGTAGCATCCTTTTTACTAGAATTTAGAAAAATAATTTTTGAACTCAATATTCTCCTAAGGTATAGTGATGGTCATTTATAGACACTGAGATATAATTCTTCCTGCCTTCTTTTCTGCCCTCTATCCCTGAAAAGATTGCCTTTGTAGCATGTTCAGATAGTCATTTTTCTACTTTTTGAAACTAAACAACATTGTAACGGTATAAAAATCTTAAGTGTCCTTTAGCATAAATTCAGTGAGGCATTCCTAGAGAATACCTTCCACTTAATTTTATCTTCTCCATAAAGATATAGTATTCATTTAGCATCTCTGATATACTGCTCAGGAATTCTGTTAAGCATTTCTGTATGCCAGGCGTAGTGCTAAACAGCTGTAGAGGCTGGGAAGAGGCCTTGCCCTCAAGGAGACAGGTGAGTAAAGCCAGCAGATACAACAAAGTGTTAAGTGTTATGATACAGAACACACTACTCATCCTTTTCCATTCCACAAGTATTTATGGAGTACCTACTTTGTCACAGCACTCTGCTTGACTGAGAATTCAGCAGTGAATAAGACAGACTAGGTCCCTTTCCTCATGAAGCTTTTAAGTCTCTGTGCAGTCTCACGAGGCCATATATGAGGGAATTTTGCACTGATATTTTCTCTACTTGGAATGGTCTGTCCTTGCATAACTGATTCCTTTGTTCAAATGTCACCACCTCAGAGAGTCAACCTTTCCTGTCTTAATATTGTCCCCCTCTCCCAGTTACTGTCTATTATACTACCTTGGAGTTCCTACAAAGTGCTTATTACTATCAGAAATTATATAATTTATGTACTTGTTTATGGTCTGCCTCTCCTTTGAGAGCAGGGACTTGCCTGATTTTGATCATTACCATTATCTTTAAGTGTTTGAATGGTGCCTGGTGCATTTTGGACACGTAACAAGTATTTGCTGCATGGAAGAGTCAATGATTGGATGTATGGTACTGGGGAAAGGCATTAACAAGGTAATTTCAGATAGTGGAAGTGGGTAATCAGAGGAGGTATACAGAAGGGGAGAGTTAGGGAGGTCTGGTGTCTGACATTATTCCCACTCCCCCTTTAACTCCTCCTTCCTCATAAGTGCCTATGCCTAAAGCCCTTAATTTTTATGATTTCTTGGCCACAGGAGATACTGTTTACATCCTCAAAGTTGGAAATCCGAACATCCTAAAATTTTGCTTGACTGATGACCTCACCCTTATGGTTCTTAAGCTTTATTCTTTTCACTAAGGCAAAATGGCAAAATATCCACAGATTTTTCTGTGATGCAAATGGTGTGCAGTTGTGCTTTTTTTCTTCCTTGTTTTGTGCTCAGCTTATGTGTTTAAAAGCATATGATCTTATTTTTGATAGAATTTTTAAAAATTTATTGATATTTTTCCTCTAGTAATCTTGGAATGGATGTCTGGGATTCTGATGAAGATGCAACTCTCCCATCTAATTCTATGGAAGAATCTGGAGATTGGTCCCCAAATGAAGACTTTCATGGGTAAAAGCAACATAATTGTAGATGAATATTTTATGATAGTTTAGATACATATTAATGATGATAGAGTAGGGGAGAAAAACCATGGGATTGGGTGTCAGGAAGTCTGCATTCAAATCTTGATTCTGCCACTTCTAAATTGTAGGTAATATAGAGCCAATGACATAATGTTTTCAGGCCAGTGTTGTTTAATGTATAACATAAAGCATTGGACAAGATCAGTTAGCCTTTCTTAAGTTGTATTTTAAGGACATATGAAACTAGTATTTTATGAGGTTTTATTAGTTTTATAGGAATAAAAAGTGTTAAGTCAAATAAATTTTGGAAATGCAGGCTGATGTCACCATGAATACTAGCTTACTAGAAGCCCTTCAAATTCCTGAAGTAAAGAAATTTATTAAATTTTATTGAACCCAGCATTTCCCTAACTTATTCAAGCACAAAACTGCTTTCCTCCCTGACAGAACTAGCATTAACATGATATGGAAGACTAATGTTCTCCAAGCTATTTGGCAAATATTGAATTAGGTAATCTCTGTGATCCCTTCAAAATTTTAAATGCTATGATTCTAAGTAATAATTTGTATTTATTCTACCAATATATCAGGAAGTGGATTAAGGTTATCAAATGTTACTAGAATTTCCTCTGACTTACATATATATATAGATATATATATGTATATCTTTTATATACATATATATATTTATAAATTGATAGGAGAGAATTTAAATTTTCTTACAACCTTTTTTTCTCTATCTTTCCAAAAAAATTACACTCTTCTCTTGGCATTTTTTTTTTATAATCACAGGATACACAATACTATTTTAAATCAAGAGGAATATTTGGCACTTGAATTTTTTTTTTTAAAGATTTTATTTATTTGACAGAGAGAGAGCAAGAGAGATCACAAGTAGGCAGAGAGAGAAATGGAAGCAGGGTCCCTGCTAAGAAGAACACGTGATGCATGGCTGGATCCCAGGACCCTGAGACCATGACCTGAGCTGAAGGCAGGGGCTTAACCCACTGAGCCACCCAGGTGCCCCTTGGCACTTGAATTTTTAAACTGAAATATGTAGCAAGAAATTGATATGATCTACTGTGAACTGAATACAAGCTGGACTAGACAGTAGTCTCCCGTTCTCCTTTTTCTCAGCTTCAGATCTCACCCCAAAACATGAAGCATTTTGCCACCTGAGTGGTACAGCTTTTTCTCTCTGCCCCACCTGCCTAGAAGGAGTCCTGACTTGAACAGGGCCAGGCACTGGGGTGGGCGTTAGCTAACATCACAGGATGTGCGTGAGCCGTGTGAAGAGCTGTACAGAGCTCTTCTGTTTACCCTGGCAGCGCCTGTCTGCTCTGACACAGGCTCTTCCTGCACATAATGTCTGTACCCCCATTCCAAGGAAGCATTTGTTTATCTTCAGTGAATAAAATCCTTGTGAAAGTCTCTCAGAATTTGGTGCCAGTAATTTTGTTTTCAGACACTGAAGGGTTTCGTTGTTAATCTTTGTTTAGGTTGTGTTTTATTTTTATGAAACTTTCCTTTTCTTGTTGCTAGGAAACAAAGTTGTAACTTTTTAGTCAATTATAGTATCTCATCCTGGGTTTTTAAATACTTATTTCTATTTTAAATGCTATCTGTTCCTCTTCTCGACCCTTTCAAATTGGTGTGTTTTCCATGTTATGGAAGTTTGGCAGTTCCTTATGAAACTAAAATTGGATTTAGGATACAACCCAGCATTTGCACTCTTGAGCATTTATCCCAGAGAACTGAAAACTTGTTCTCACAGAAATGACATGAATGCTCATAGCAGCTTATTTATAAAACTAAAAAACTGGAAATAGTCAAAATGTATTATTTATTCCGAATTATTTTATACCATAAGCTCCATTAGTAGTTCTTAGGAGTAATTATATAAAAATCAATATATATTTTCTTACTTCTTCCCACATGAAGTCGGTACAATAATCCAGCGTGTCATCAGCCATATTTGTAGGATTACTTCTTTAACCCATCAGATAGATTATGATAAAAGTGAACTGGTTATGACATTTCTCTAAATGAAAAAATGTTGTGAAATGTGTTGTGGTCTAGTTTTTAGGGGAAAAAATTACTGTTTAACACCAACACACTTTTGTTTGGAAATCTACAAGTTAATAGTTACAGGAGAGAGTTTGGGGCTCATAAGCACAAACAAAGGAGAAAAATGAAAATGTGGCACAATTCAGTCCAGGGGGACATCACAACAGTTTATGTCCTGTTGAGCTGAACAAAGGGAGGTTTTGCTAATGGCATAGATTTATCCTTTATTATTCAAATACTTAGTATTTATAGCCTGTTTTCCCCCCAGCAGGACTGGGAAAAGGTCAAGGCTTCTTAATGACCAGCACCCTCGAAATGATGTACAGATAAAGGATTATGATTATGTCAACAGTGGACGTTTCCAGAGGCATGGGGATTTGTATAAACACAGGTGTAGTGACAGCATGCCAGAAGAAAGACACCTGAGAAATTGGGATTTGGGTAACAAAGGACCAGGACCAAGATGTTCATTCTTTGCTAATCGCCAGTGTTATGATGTCTCTCAAGAGGAAACAGATTTCAGTAAGATACATGGAACCAGACCGAGACCATTTCATGATCCCCAGCCTCACAGTGACTGCCATGAACCAGATGCTGGAGATGATTTTGATTTTGTTAGCAAAGTTGATGGACAAAGGAGACATTCCATTCAGAATCATCAGGCCTATAGCAACTGTTGGGAAAAATTTCCAACAAAAGATTATGGTTTTATCAACAGAAGCTGGGGACAAAAACGATGGCCTTTCTATAACCACCATGAGTACCCACTTCGTGGTGATTTTCAGGACCAATTACTTGTACAGAGTTCTCATTTTCTCAACAAGGGTGGTGGTTTTCAAAGGCAAAAACCCTTCTACCAGAACTATTTTCATGATGAAATTAATTTGGAAGATTTAGAATATACCGATGTCATATCAGAGCACACACGAGGATCTCTACATGACCATTCCAACAATGATTTCTCAGAGAAAATGTCATTGAAAAAATATGTTAATAGAGGTCATGGACAAAGACTACCACCTTTTCCAAAGTTTAAAAAGCAAAGGCATTTAAGAAATTTTGATTTCAACAGTGGAACAAAACCATGGCATATATCTTCCTGTAACCACCCACGTAATGATCCACAAGAACAGGTTCTTTTGGAAGACTTGGATTTTGAACAGGAAACATCCTCACAAAGACCACGGTCTTTTCGGGACTCCCCACTTCCTGATAACATAAATCCTGACTGGCATTTAGATAAGTGAGTCATTTTGTTTTGCACAGTAAGAAACGGTACTTGACTCCAACAAAACACTCAGACTTCTTTCAGATTAGGTATTTGTATAAAAGTTGTATAAATTATCACCCAAAGCTAAAATTCAGATTTATTCTTATATAGATTCAGTTTGTGATGAAGGTTTATTTCTGATGCTGTGAATTATAAATTTACCTTTATTTCCTACAATTGCAGTAAATATACAAATTAGATTTAAATGGTTTAGCTTTTCACTGTAAGCTAGTAGTAAAAAAAAAACAAAAAACAAGAAACAGATTTCTCAGAGAAAATGTAAAATACATTTACAGTATAGTACTGTAAATGTATTTTACGATTTTTGAATAACATTTTCTTTTCTCTAGCTTATTGTAAGAATACAGTATATAACACATGTAGCATAGGACCACATGTTAGTCAACTGTTTATGTTACCAGTAAGGCTTCTAGTAAACAGCAGGCTGTTCCTAGTTAAGTTTAGGGGCGTCAAAAGTTACGCGTGCATTTTTGACTACACAGGGATCAGTGCCCCTAACCTCCAGTTGTTCAGGGGTCAACTGAATTCCTTCTAGCCGTCCTACAAATTATTTTTTCTTTAATTTTAATTCCATTATGGTTAACATACAGTGTTAAATTAGTTTCAGGTATATAATAAAGTGCTTCAGCAATTCTGTATATTACTCAGTACTCATCAAGATAAGTTTAGTTTTTTTAATCCCCATCACCGATTTCACCTGCCCCCGACCCACTGCCTTTCTGGTAACCATCCCTTTGTTCTGTTTTTTGGTTTGTCTTTGTTTGTTTGCTACAGATTTTTTTTTTTTTTAAGATTTTGTTTATTTATTAGACAGAGATCACAAGTAGGCAGAGAGGCAGGTAGAGAGAGCGGGGGAAGCAGGCTCCCTGCTGAGCCGAGAGCCAGATGCGGGCTCGATTCCAGGACCCGGAATCATGACCTGAGCTGAAGGCAGAGGCTTTAACACACTGAGCCACCCAGGCGCCCCTACAAATTACTTTTTAATACACACACGCCAGTAGTCCTCTCTCTGCCATGCAGTAATCACCTCTCAGTGCCGTTAGTTGGGAGCGTCTTCAGGAGAGTAGGGACTGCAGTGAAACTGAAGTGTAAGGCAGGAAGAGGGGAGGCCTGCCATCTGAAAGGGAAAGAACGAGATAAGAAAGGATAGGAGAAGGGATAGAAGTAAAAGGACAATCCAGGAAAATAGAGCACTGTGCTGGGATAGAGAATAAGACCACAGAAGAGAGGAAGGTTTGAGAAAGGAGATGAAGAGTGGAGAGTTACTATGTGCCTTCCCTTTCAATTCAGAATGTTTCCTCCAGTTGTACATTATTCTACACGTACCTGGAGAGATGTGAATTTTACCTGTGGGCTATGGGCTGTCCTGGTTTTATTCAGAAACTTCTTTTTTTCCTCTCCTACCTTTCCTACCAGCAGCTTCCCTGCCTTCCTCACTTTCCTCACGTCACAGGGCCTATGGCACTGAGAACTGCAGAGACAACGTGGTCAGAGGCAAATACTGATTTAGCCACAAAACCATCCTTTTCAGTCCTATCCCTGATTGCTACCAGTGATATGTAAACATATTAGAAAACAAGCATTTTGTGAATCCACACGTATGCAGGGTTTATATACCACCTTGGCAGATCCTGGCCACTGCCTTTAGAAGTGATTGTCACTTCTCCCTTGTGGTTTGGGGATTCTAAAACCAATCAGTTCATCTTCACCTGGGTTACCAGTGGCTACTAGTTGGTACTAGTTAAGCTAGAACTTTGTTTCATTTCCTTTGTAATAACTTCACTCTATTCCATGATTATTATGTCTTCTATTGGACAGGGTAAAAGACAAGATTGGTCAATAGAAATCTCTCACTCTGGGTTGCCTGGGTGGCTCAGTGGGTTAAAGCCTCTGCCTTCGGCTCTGGTCATAATCTCAGGGTCCTGGGATCCAGCCCTGCAGCGTTGGGCTTTCTGCTCAGCAGGGAGCCTGCTTCCCTTCCTCTCTCTCTGTCTGCCTCTCTGCCTACTTGTGATCTCTGTCTCTCTGTCAAATAAATAAATAAAATCTTAAAAAAAAAAAATCTCTCACTCCTCTTAGGACAGCTTCTCTGTTACTGATGATGCTCTGGATTAGGAGGATTATAGTATTCAAAAGAGGCCGTCTTTGGCTTTCTTTTTCTTGTTCTTGTCACTCAGTACCAGATTTGGGGTCAGGATTATAAGCATCCTATGTGAAAGAATAGCAGTTTCAGTATAAAAGGATATTCCATACTGATTTATATTTAACTACTCAACAGAAATCAGATTGGAGTTTTTGTTTTAAATTACCTAGTTTTTCTTAATTTACTAATTAGCCATTGACAGGATGAATTGGCTCAAAGGTATTCGATCAGATGGAGACACCTAAAGGAAAAATTGAGATAGACCAAAAGAGACCTTGGTTTGAGGGGGAGAAGGGCAGATGACATCCAAGACAGGATTTCACCTGACTCTTCCTTTCCACTTACCCATTACTGACAGGCCCAAGTATAACAGCATATTAACAACTTGGAGAAGGGACTATAGTAGGAAAAGAAATAAGAATTCTTTACAAACACTATCAAATATTTACATTAAAAATATGCTGGAATTATCCCACAAATGTATATTTTAGTAGAGGTTAATTGGAAAATTTGAAATTTTTAATTGCATACCTGAAACATACATGAAAAGCAAAACTTACAATTTAAAACAGGTGAGTCGTTAGCCTTCAGCTTCTCAGTGTCAAAGAAATATTCTAAAAGAGACCGTCTATAAGCTACATAACCCACTGATTTGCTGCTATACTGAAATGATTCTGCTAATCTAACTTCATAGTATAAAAAGGAACAGGCAAATATAGCTGCTATGGTCCTAATTCTCTCTGCAGGGTAAAGAGGGCCCTACCTCCTTTCATGGGAGATGCATTCTTACTTTTACCATGTTGCATCATGCAGGGATTCTCCTCCCCCCTTCACCATTTGACTGTTGGTGAAAGGGTATACTCACTTCTTCTAGCACAATGCCCCCCATAAAGTCTGAATCCTGTTCTGTGATTATAATTAACCACTTGCTTCTGCAACACTGGCAAAATGATGACAAGTGTTGAATGTTCTGTAATGGGCACATGGGTGTGTATTTTCCTATTGTTGTTTATGTTTGAAAACTCTAATAATAAAAAATTAAAAATAACTGTTTCTGTTACATTATTAGACTGGTGTATCCAGAAGATAATCGAAGAATACATTCTTCAGATGGATTTAACCGCAGGAGACAGAACAGACTGACAGCATATTCTTCACAGGAACTCCCATCTTCATGTGTATTCCAAGAAGATGGTTCAGTTGACTATTGTGGAGGCAGAAATCCAAGAGATATGGAACAGCACAAAAGGTCATATTTTTAAGCTACTGATTATAATTAGAGTATGCCTGTCAATTGCAGAGCTGGAGAGGGAGCATTATGACTTACCATGAGAAAAAACTGCAATTGGTACTGACTAGTTCACTTTAACAACCGCCCACCACTTATCTATATTTGCCCCCTTTGCATTATTACTGGGCCAGAAATCATTTCATAATAAAATAAATTGTATGTCAAAAGGTAACCTATGTTACTACAAAATTAGCCATCTATATCTTTCAATTTTTTGTAAGAGTATTTATAAATATAAAGAAACTATAATGTAGAATATATATAATTATTGCTTTTTCAGAACTGGAAATTTGATTTATTGAGGCTCTGTTTTTAGTTATATATGCTTATGAATTGCATTTCTGGTTGCAAACTTTATAAAAATTAATTTCTTTGTGAATTTTTATTCCTTTGTGAAATTTTATTCCTTTGTGAATTTATACCCTGTTCCAGTTATTGTGGGCATACAGCAAGAGATTATAGCTTCCACCTCGCTGATTAAGCTACAAAATTATAGAGTTCAAAAACCCATCAGAACTAAATTTTTAAGTCTATAACTCTCTTATCACTGGTAGTGACAGGAGAAGGAAAAATCCATTGTAGACAGGAATAAGGAACCACCTGAACTTTATAGAATTTTTAAAGTTTCCACGTAGGCTTGCATTATGGATCACTTACCAGCTTTCCCATGGGTTTCTACCAAATCACAGGGGTAGTACACTGGCAGAAGAGCTGGGAGAAATCCCTCTGAGGCATACCAGGTCTTCACTGAGTGCTAGGCACTGGCTCCCCAAAGGCAGACAGAAATCTCCTGAGGCACAGAAAACTGACTGAAAAGGAAACCTTTGAGGAATGTTGTGGAAGAGTAAGAGGAAGCTTTGAAAATTGCCCTTGAGCTGGCCACTGGAACAGGCTGCCAAGTGATGTATGGCAGTCCGGTGGAGGGGATGCTAAAGTAGTCTAGGTCTTTGATACTCCAAGTGGGCCTGACAGCAGCACTGGCACTACCAGGCAGCCTGTTGGAAATGGAGAACCTAAGCCTCACCTCAGACCTACAGAGTCATTTTTTATTAATTAGAATTAATTTCTATTTCAACAAGATTCCTAGGTGAGTTATATACACATTAAATTTTGATAAGCATGACCATTTTTTAAAAGATTTTATTTATCTATTTGAGAGAATAAGCAAGAGAGAGAGAGCACGAGTAGAGTGAGGAGGGAGGAATAGAGAGAGAAGGAAGCAGACTCCCCACTGAGCAGGGAGCCCAAAGTGGGGCTCAGACCCAGGACCCTGAGATCATGATCTGATCTGAAGGCAGACGCTTAATGCACTGAGCCACCCAGGTGCTCTGATAAGGATAACTTTTTAAGGTGTATTCTGATCCTTAAAATTCTACTTAAATAGTATGTGTGATCAGTCACTGGGTGGTGAGCTATACAGAAACTAAATGCATGGTCCAAGAAGGAAATATTCAATGTAAGTAATGCAAGGAGGTGTCATTGAGGAACCAGGAGTTGAGCTGGCCCTGAAGAGCTGGAGGAAGATACAGGTCATGTTAAGAGATAATGAAATAAGAATACTGAACCAGAAGTAGTGAAAAGGAACAGCTTTCCTGCAGTGGAAAGGGAGGTTAACTAGGACTGTTACCTCTGTTCCTGCTAAAATACCCCTGAGGCCAACTTTTCAGAAAGAAGTAAGTCACTTACCTTTCTCTGAGGAGCTTAAGCTGGATGCTGAATAGAAAGGTCTGAGGTCTAATGCAGGCCTAGGCCAAGGGCTGCAGTAGCACAGGGAAGCAGCAGTTTATTCTGACTTGGAGATGTGAACTTGGCCTGTCCTGGCCAAGGCTATAAGAGGCATCTTGTTCCCTCTTCCTCTCTGGTGTCCCTGCCATTCATTTTTTGTAAGAGATGCAAGATACAGAAGCAGGCCTGAACTAAACCTACTGCCTGAAGGCTTCACTGCAGGCATTCCAGCTGAGTTTTGAAGGTAGAGTGGGGCAAAGGTGCTCAAGTTGAGCAAATAACCTGAACAGTGTTGGGTGAAGCAGCAGTCTACCCTGTCTGGATTGTAGGTAACATCAGAGGGGTGGAGTGGGATGTAAGCCCAGAGAGAGCTCACAGGCATGGTTCAAAAAGCTTTAATGTCTGTTGGAGAGTTTGACCTTCTTTTGTAGGCAATGGAAAGCTACTGGCAATTTTAGTTAGGGAGCAATGTGGTAAAGCTTTTTTTTTTTTTTTTTTTTTTTTTTAAGATTTATTCGAGAGAGAGAGGGAAAAAGAGAGAGCAGAGGGAGAGAGACAAGCAGACTCTGCATTGAGCATAGAGCCTGAGATCATGACCTGAGCCAAAATCAAGAGTGGGACGTTTCAGAGACTGGGAGCTACCCAGATGCCCCAAAGACTGTTTTTTATAAAGCTTATTCTGGCATTAATAGATTGGAGACACAGCTGCCATTCCTGGTGTCAGATCTTCACTGGGCTGATAACAATAAGATTAGAAAGAGGAATCAAAATGAAAACTGTTGCAAAGGCAAAATGGGCAGGTGATGTTGATGAAGTCCTAGTTACTTGACACAGTGGTGGCACTGAGGCATTAATTATGATACAATTCAGGAGGCGGGCCAGGTTTAGGAGGAAAAATAGAGTTTGGTTTAGGTCATTCTAAATACACACTGTTCCCCACCTAGCTCCCAGGGTTGCCTACCCTTTCTTCTTAGAACTTCGTTATAAGGAGTGGTGCTGTTTCTTAGGTGACCGTATCTCATTTGTCATTGACTGATCCATGTTCTCTGGTGAGCTTTGCTATTCACTATACATTCAAAAGGGATATAAAAACAAAAAGTTAACCCAGGTCCTGATGAGGGTATGCCATCACTGTATCACCAGTTTAAATTTAGACTTTTAAAACAGATAAATGCAAAAGGTATAGCAATGCTTCTATCACATGTACAGTCTTAAATGCTACTTTTCTAGAGAAGGTTCATGGAGATACTCCTTTCCCCATTATTAAAAAACCCATTCTCCCTGTGATAAAACCAAATGTACTCAGTTCTATTAGATTCATGTACAAAATAAAACTTGGGTAGTTAACTACACATTGTCCTAAACACATAAAATAAATAAACAGATGTATGTTCTCTTAGGAAATCTAGAATAGAGAGCCTTTTTTAGAATATGAAGCCAGTTTGCGAGCTGCTACAGCATCCTGATTAAGGCTCTGGAAAGAAGTTGCAGACTGATGACATCTTGGAAGTAATGACAGTTTAAATAAAGAATATTCTCTGGCAAGATAAGTAGACTGTAATGGATAGAAAACATCCTTTATGTTTTAGTTAATGAGACACTGTGGTAGGTTCAATCATTGTGCCCAATGCTTCACTCCTCTTCTGTATTAAATGAGTCATCCATGTCCTTCGCCATATGACCAAGCCATTCCTCCAGTGTTTCTCCAACTTGCTAATTGTTGGGCTTGGTCATATGACTTATTTTGGTCAGTAGGATGTAGATGAGAGTGACAGAGGCCTGTCCCAGCCAAGGCTGTAAGAGGCATCCTGTTCCCTCTTCCTCTCTGGTGTCCCTGCCATTAATTTTTTGTAAGAGATGCAAGATACAGAAGGCCTGAACTAAACCTATTGCCTGAAGGAGAGCTACCCAGCTGACGCAGATCCATGAACATGAAAATCAAAGTTGATTTTGGCTTACCACTTAGAATTTATTACCACTAAACTTAGAGTTTATTACCACTCTAAGGTTGTTATAATAAATTTAAAAGATATAACTCACAAACAGAAAAGAAACATGGTTAGTGAGCACAACTAACCATAAGCAACTGTCCTATTCTAACAAGATAGCAACTGTTAGAATCGGAACCAGAGAGGGATCAAACCCATCTGGGTGAAATTCAGCTCATCTTTCAAACTGACAATAAATAAGAATATATTTTGATAGTAATTTTAATATAATAATATGGTAATCTTTGTGAGCTATTAAAAAACTAATATTTAGTTTAATATTCAAATTTACAATTTGATTATGGAATATAATCATCAAAATTATCTTGTATCATCTTTGAATCCAGATTACATTTTCCAAAAGTCTTTCATCAGGCGTCTTGGCCTGAATAACAGTCATCTCTGCCTTCACAAAGAAGGCAACAAAACCTGAGGAATAAAGTGAAATTCTGAGCTGAGATCTTAAAGAAGAACAATGTCTAAGAATATTTTAACTTCATATATAACAAATAATAGCAAGATGTTACAGTATCTATGGCTGTTTTTTTAAGTTTTCCCTCACTAGAAAGACTACTGCCTGTATCTTTTTAGGTTTGAATGTATTTTTAGACACGTGCTGTCCAATGCAGTAGACTAGTTATACATGGTTTTCCATCTCTTGAAATGTAGCTAGTGCTGATTAAGATGTGCTGTAACAATATATATAACAGCTTTCAAAACTTAAAATGAAAAACAAATATTAATAATAGTTCTTATGTGAACTACGTGTTGAAATGATAATACCTTGGATATGGTCACTTTTTTTTTTTAAGATTTTATTTATTTATTTGACAGAGATCACAAGTAGTCAGAGAGGCAGGCAGAGAGAGAGAAGGAAGCAGGCTCCCTGCTGAGCAGGGAGCCTGACGTGGGGCTCAATCCCGGGCCCTGGGATCATGACCTGAGCCAAAGGCAGAGGCTTTAACCCACTGAGCCACCCAGGTGCCCCGGGTATGATCACTTTCTTAAACTCTTCTTACCTCTGTGGTTTGATTGCACCTTCTTTTACTTGTTGACTGATACAACATTAGAGTGAAGTGTACTTTTTTTTTTAAAGATTTTATTTATTTGAGAGAGTGTGAGCGAGTGAGAGAGCGAGCGAGCATGAGCAGGGGCAGAAGGAGAGGGAGAAGCAGACTCCCTGATGAGCAGGGAGCCTGACATGGGGCTTGATCCCAGGACCCTGAAATCATGACCTGAGCCGAAGGCAGACACTTAACTGACTAAGCCACTCAGGTGCCCCAGAATGAAGTATACTTTTAAAAATGTCTATTTTGCATTTTATATTTCTTATTAAGAATTGGGTAAGGTGAAAATTTCTCTCTCTCTCTCTCTCTCTCTCTCTCTCTCACACACACACACACACACAGCCTACTTGCATAACTTCATTCTTTGGTTTACAGAAGTAACCATTTCTGATGTTTTCCCATTATGAGTTCATAGAATAAATTTCCCACCTTCTAAGGAATGGTGGAACCTAGTTTAGGTGAATAGCCAGGAAGGAATGGTAATCATTTATAACCAATGGCCAATTCAATATTGAAATCAATTGACAGTGACCCATTTTATTTGGCCCTTCTCATCTAGAATTGCCCAAAGCAGATTCCTGAACCTGCCATAAAATCATGTTTCCCTGCAAAGGAAATGAGATCAGGTTGTGCCAGCTGATCTCCATCAGTTGAGACTTAAAACAAGTGGAGTTTGACTCCAAATACCTTAATGGATTTTTTTTTTTTCTTGGACCCAGGCTATAAGACAAAAAAAGGAATAAGAAAAGATTTCAATTTATTGAAGGAAACTGGTGAATTCTAATTCCAGCTTGTTGATGGGCAGTGTTTAGAAAAGACAAAACAATAAACTCGGGTCAGAAGACATGAATTTGCATATCTGCTGTATCATCTACTAGTTTGTGTGACCCTTATTTATAAAATGGAAATAGTACTTATAAACCCTCATGGGGTTTTTTAGAATCAAAATAGAGAATGTGCGTGACAGTGCTTTGTATATGTAGACATAAGAAAGGAGCTGCTGCTGGCTATATTTTATGACCTTTTATTTTCATTTTTATTTGATGCAGAATTGCTGTACAGGGAGCAAGCACTATAATTAAGAAGCCAGGTATATGGGGAATCCTTGATTAGTATCATACACCATATACGTTACCATGCATAGTACATGAACAGGATATCAGTGTTGCCATGACAGCCTTTGTGGACTTAAAGCAATATTAAGTCACAAGTCCATCAGGGAACAGGTCATCTGTCTACTTCCCTCTCTCCCATGCCAGTCAGCCCTGTATTCATACAGAGTTAAGTGTGAGTTTAGAGGTTACAAGGAGACAGTCTAGTATATTTGGGAGAGAAAATAATGGTTAAGTGCATTGCAGGCTTTTAGGTCAGCCACTTGGGCAAGTGACTTAACCTCTCTGAGCCTCAGTTTCTGGTTCAATAAAGTGGGAGTGGTAGTAGCTTCCTTCAGACTGTTGTAAGGATTAAGTGAGAAAATGAATGTAGTGCACTTGAGCAGAGCATGGGACATAACAAATGCTCAATAAATACTAAGTTTAACAACATAACCACTAGCACTAGTAGAAAGAGTTTAAACATATTCAAACTTGGCTTCTCCTTCCTAATCCAAGTGCAAGTTCAATTGTGAGTGGCAGAAAAGAAAAACTTCACATCCACAGTTTGTAAGCTTGTATTCACCTGGTTGTAAAAAAATGACTTGGTTATTCAAGAGATATAAGGACATTTGGCTTCCAGTTTGTAGGAAAGCTTTTCCTTCCTCACCCCAGCCCCACCCTGCATTAGTTCAGCAGTCAGTCCCCAAATCCAGAGATGGGGAGCTTGGGACAACTTCAGAATAACACATCACCATTCCACCTGCTCACAGCAGTCATTAAAGGAAGAAAGTACAGGGTCTCTTCATGTTTCTGTGACAAGGTCCATAGCTGCTGCTTCTCCCACAAAATAGTCCATGGAATAAGTAAATAGAACCCATACTTGTGTGACAGGGGTGGCAACCACACTTTCAGATCTGGTTCCTGGCATACTTTGATGAGCAAATACCATGACAGAAGAAAGGCGTGTTGTAGCTCTCTCACTACATTAAACCCTGGGACAAAAAGATATGGCATGGCTTTTAAAACTCAGTGGGCATCTTTGTGGAACAACTGATGAGCTTATTTGGCTGTTAACTGAAAGGTTGGTGGTTTGAACCTACCCAGGGATGGCCTTGTCTCCAGCTAATTTCTTGATGGGGAAAATATTCTGGAATTAGTGGTGATGGTTGCACAACAATGCAAATGTGCGAAATGCAGCTGAATTGTACATATTAAAATGGTGGACTTTATATGTATTACTACAATAAAAATAAAACCCCAGTAGATGCATTGAAGATGTATTTTCCAAACTCTTCATTGTAATTGTATTTTTCTTCCTGATGTGTATACCTACCATGTAGTATGCCCTGAATGCTGAATGCTTAGATATTACATCAGCTTTTTAAAAAATCTCTGGTCTGGGGGCTCCCACTCCATAGAATTTTGGCATCACTGAAGAATATATAACTCATCCACAACCCTGTTTTGGATTGGAATATCATATTAATGATATAAGCACATAAATTCTCTTGCAAGACTCTTTGGCCCTGGCACATATTTGTCTAGTCTAGAAAATTCTCCTGTGCAAACAGCAGGATGGGAATGAGATGGGTGTCTGCCCTCTCCGAAGGCATTGTATGGCATTCTTCACAAATGGGCAACAGGAGAAAGAAAGGGTCTGTATCAGTACAACTGAACGAGTTCCTGAGATCTTCTCTTGGCCTGTGCAGCTTACCAGCCCAGGACTCAGGACTCTTTTGAGTTCTTCGGGACAAAGTCATGATTGAATTTTTTTTGTTTTGTTTTTTGTTTTTGTTTTTTTATAAAGCAGACATCATGAAAGGTAACAGGTCTTTAAGACCCATACAAGCACAGGGTACAAAAGAGAGAAGTGGAGTTGGGAAGGAATCATAAAAGAGACGATGTCTTCTGGGTAGTCCTTGAGGCAGAAGGTGGTGAATACCTTCCATGGAAAAGCTTCAGCAAAAGCCAAGGAAGCTTCGTGCTGGTCAAGACTGGCCTTGGTGAGCAAGGAAGGATGACCTTGTACACCACTGTGGAGGAAGGTGCTCCTTGGGCAAGTTTTTTTCTCACTCCACCCAGCAGGTTTCAGCTGCTCCTGCTATACCATGTCTTTCCAGAAGTATGAAGGCTTGTGAAAGATAAACATGCCTATGATGACCACTGCAACCAGGATCACTGAGAAGAGAACCATGAGGAAGACATAGGTGGAGTGGGTCAGAGGTGTGGATAACGGCTGCTCAGCTGGGATCATGTTGGTCAGGTTCAGCATGTAGCCCAGAGTCCACCCAACATTGCTGCTCTGGATCTGCAAACAGTGGGGATAGGCTGTTGTTTCTGGTTTGAAGATGAAATGAGCTTTCATGCAATCCCATCCATAACACAGCATCAGGAAGTGGAGAGCACCACGTTCAATTCTCTAGCTGGATTACTTTTTTTACATTCTAAATTGGGAATATGTTTGTGGGGAAAATGGAGCCTGAGCAAGTGATGAAGGAGAGTTTGTGGAGTCTCACTGCTCTATTCCTGAAATTCAGAGAAATTTGGTGAATAACTGTCTAGTGCCTCTGCCTAGAAGAACTTACTTCAAACAACCTTTGGAGATTTGCATTCCTCTTAAGTGAATGTGGAGGGAAGGGTGTGGAAGGCAGGATGGTGACAGAAAGCAGGCAAAGGATAAGACAATGATTGTTCCTGGTCTCTTACATCTACGTCACCCAGGAATCTCATCCTTAAGTAACTAGGACATCTTTATGATTCAATGAAGGAAGACTGAGAAATAATCCCAGCAAGTCAGTGTTACTTTATGGAAGTTGGAATACTGTACACATGTTCAGAAGGGATTCTTCCTAAATGTTAAGACGTGCTCTGGCCCTGCCATCTTCCTAGGAGTATTTTCCAATCACCTCCAAACATACTGGAGTGTAGATAGTCTGTGAATAATAAATAATTTTGAAAATGTTTTTATTACATAAGTTGCACATGGTCAAGGTAGAAAAATTAGGACATACAGATAATCCTAAAAAGGAAAATAAAAACCAGCTATATTTCACCACTCAGAAGTCGCTGCTATTATCTTTTTGTAACACATGCTTCCAGGCTTCTCTGTGCATGTCTTTTGCCTTACAAAACATGGAATTAAGTTATATTAGACTTCTTCACTTAACAATACCTTTCTAAACATCATCTCATGTTTCAAAGGATCATCACTGACATGAACTGCCTTCTAGGTTTATTTTTATTCACTTTATCCAATTATTTATAAATCCTAGAAATGAAGTAATTGCATAAAATGACAAGCATATTCTAAGGCTTTTAGCACATATTGCCACAACAGTCTCCCCAAAGGTTGTGCCAATTTACGTTCCGACCAGTTTCTGTGTGGAAAGCTCCTCTCCCCTAAACCTTTACCAGTCAGTACTGGGAACTAACAATTTGTGAAGGGTCCGCTTCCCTTTATGGGGCGCAGGAACCTTGTCTGACGGCATGTATCAAGGAAGTTTCCAGAGTTAGAGGAGTTACCACCAATGGTTTAGAAATACTAGATCATTCACTGAAGTCTAAAGAATACAAATCACTCGCAAATTTGACACAGACATATCATTCAGACAGACAAAAAAAATTGTGATGAAATTAAAGAAGACTAGGAATTAAATCAAGGGAAAGATGAGCATTTGAATTAGCAAGGTCAATATCGACATGAGTGTAATGAAAATAGCATCCTTTAGGCTGCTACACCCCGGAGCCTCAATGTTTTGCTTTGCTTGAAGTCATCATATTTTAAAAAGGGAGTTAATTGTCTTTGCCATTAGTGGGTATGGGTTTAAAAGGCAGAGAAGCACGGCTCTTGATACTTTTGAAGCAGGAATTGCCTATCAATGTGAATGTTTCTCTATGCCTGGATACCTGCAGGTGGCGCTATGGTAAAGAACAGCAGTGAGGATGCTTCTGTAAGGCTCTGGCTAAGCCTGCTAAGCAAAGACCCCTATTGACAGTCACTCATCTTCTTTATGCTAAGCTTTCAGATTAGTCAACCTTGAAGCGACAACCAACAAGACCTGCAGTCCTTATAAGAAGCCATAATAATCATTTCCAGATCATGGAAGGGGCCTTTGGGATGGATGTTGAAATCAGCAAACAAACACTGAGACTACTGAAACACAGTTACATTTAAGATCTTACTGATTGTTTTAAAAGGAATTAGTCACTGTTGCATGAGCAGAAAGAAGAGGCTTAGAATGCCCATAGCTCTCGTTTGATCAATGGGCTGGTCAACACAGCAGGGCTTGATACAAAATGTCAGCTTGGGTTAGAAGTGAAATGGTAGAACAGGACATCACACTGACTTCTACCTCTTTCAAGACCAAAGCTGCCTCAGTCACCCAATCTCCCCACAACCTAACAAGTCCCCAAATTACCTTGCCCATGAAATGAATGTTCTTCCAGGAATCAGCCGTGAAACCATAGCCACTCACAAGGAGAGAGAGGATGTAGGTTCCAGAAAAGCAGTATTCACTCAGGTACTTCTCCTTCACATCACCAAAACGTGTCTTCAGCTGGAAGTGAAGTGAAAGAAATATCACACGTGTACAACAGGCACCTCCCCACGGCCCTTTTCACCATTTGAGTCGATCGAGACAGGAGAAAGGCCCACCTCAACCAGGCCTGAGCGTTGTCTTCTTTAGAGAGACCTGGGGATGGCGCTGCACTCCTTCAGTGGGTGCAGGGCTATAGTTCAGGGTCTGTTAAGGAAACTTTTCCTCCACTGGGTTCTGTGGGATATTAACAAGTGCTCCAGGAAAACAATGGTTCCCATGATCTAGTAAGTTCCAAAACACAGACTATCAGTATACCTCTTCACCCCTTCAGAAACTTCTGTTTCACAATCACATTAACATTTTAAAAACTGAAAAATCTTGCATGAAAGAAATCCACCAGTCTGTTTAATCAGACTTTTCTATGTTCTTGACCAGAGTCTGAGTTCAGAGTGTCTGAAGGAATTAGTGCATCTGAAGCATGTTAAGGAAAGAGTGTCATAAAAAGTCTTGCCACTCATGGGGTGCCTGGGGAGTTCAGTTGGTTAAGCGGCTGCCTTTGGCTCAGGTCATGATCTCAGGGTCCTGGGACTGAGCACCACATAGGGCTCCCTGCTCAGCGGGGAGTCTGCTTCTCCTTCTCCCTCTGTCCCTACCCCACTCGTGCTTTTTCTGTCTCTCTCAAATAAATAAAATCTTTAAAAAAAAAACAAAACAAAACAAACAAAAAAAAACCTTGCCACTCGGTTTAGTACCTGGACTAACAGTGTTGGGGTCTCCCAGGAGCTTATTAATCCTCACCCCAGAACTACCAATATAGAATGTGTTGTTTAATGTGATCCCCAGGTGATCACATGCATAGTAAAGTTTGAGAAACCCTACAATGCAGTTTATGACATGTTCTGCTCAGCACTGCTAACAGTGCCAACATCTCACCTTCTGTCCTCAAGCCCCTACCTGACCTCTTTTGTTGCTTATGAGTCATGCAAAGGGGTCTTTTTGAGTCCATGTGTTTGCTCACCCCACTTCCAAATGAAGGCTGCCTGCTGACTCTTACCTTTCCTTTTGTAAATATATGCCCAGATGTCCACAGCTTGCTCTGCTCCTTGCTGGCCCTCAGAGAACAACAGACGAGAACATCTGTAGCTCAGCCCTGAGTTTTGTCTGCTGCCCTAATCCTCAGCTCTTGAAAATAGGCATTCCCTCCTGGACACCCTGGGCAGAGAGAGAACTAATACTTGTTAAACATATATCAAGTACTAGGAATCTGGCCAGATGCCTTATATATAGGACTCCCGGGCTACCTGCCCGCCCGCCACCACCACCCCACTTTTGCCCAGATTTCTCTCTCTCCCCAAGCAACCCCTCATCTAAACTCCCTAACTGCTAGCTGGGGTCTGTTTCTTGCTTGGTTTCTGCCAGCCCCCAATCTCTAAAATGCTAAATCCACACCTAGCCAGCCTTGGCCTGCTCGAGTGGAATTCTCTGAATGACCCAACAAGGAATTTGTGTTTTTCTCATAGTCCTAGAAACAAACTACTCTTTGATCAGCTCCTCTGTATGGGATATTCTCCCAAGACCTTGGTGTGACATCAGTGCCTATCCAGATCCTGCCCCCATCTTACAGCAACTGCACTCTTTTTTTTCCTTCATGGAAAGACTTATCCAATTTGATGTAGTCTCAGCAGGCCCGTTAAACAAAAAACTGGTATGGAATTCCAAGAATCCACTTGGGCCAAACTGGAAAGTGCTGCAAACCACAGGTCTTTAAAAGCTGGCCTATCCCTTGGGGGAATGCCATTTTGGTCTAATTTTCCTGAATTCTACAAATTCCTACCCCCTCCTCCTGGAAAGATGTACATTGCCATGCAGTCTAATCTGCTGAGGATTAATTAATATAATTATGATAGTATGCTTAATATAATAATCAACATAACAATAAATATAATGCATTATATATTAAATATAATATATTTATTGCATATAAATATGTAATAAAATAATAATATAATTAATATACAATATATTATAATAACATAATTAATTAACATAATTAATTATGATAGTAGCCAAAAAATATGGAACCCAAAAGCATCTACCTGGTTCATCAGTCCAGATCTGATCATGTTTTTGCTTGTGGACTCAACACTATGTTCTCTCTAAATGCGAGGATGGTTTGCCTTTCTCTATCCTAACCCTCTCTCTGCCAGTCTCTCCTCTCTCTTTTCTATTCCTAGGGCAGTGGGATAGTACCAGCTTCTCTTCTCCTTGCCCATTGCCCCTTATCACTCCCCCCAGATGAAGGGGCATGGCAAGTCTTCAAGAATGGGATGCTTTTCCCTAGAAAGAATAATAGTCCATAAGTTTGAATGTCAGGACCCAGAATATATGGAGAAATCCTAGTTAGTAGTATACACAGAATCTTACAGCGTCAGTCTCGTAGGCTGACCAGAGATCTTGAATGCACATATTTTCTGAGTGGAAAAGTGATTATTCTGGTTGTCAAAATTAGAGGGTTGCCGACCTTCTTCCTTTTTAAAATTTTTTTTTATAAACATATATTTTTATCCCCAGGGGTACATGTCTGTGAGTCGCCAGGTTTACACACTTCACAGCACTCACCATAGCACATAACCTCCCCAGTGTCCATAGCCCCACCCCCCCAACCCCCCTCCCCCCATCAACCCTCAGTTTGTTTTGTGAGATTAAGAGTCACTTATGGTTTGTCTCCCTCCCAATCCCATCTTGTTTCATTTACTCTTTTCCTATCCCCTTAACCCCCCATGTTGCATCTCCTCTCCCTCATATCAGGGAGATCATATGATAGTTGTCTTTCTCCGATTGACTTATTTCGCTAAGCATAATACCCTCTAGTTCCATCCACGTCGTCGCAAATGGCAAGATTTCATTTCTTTTGATGGCTGCATAGTATTCCATTGTGTATATATACCACATCCTCTTTATCCATTCATCTGTTGATGGACATCTAGGTTCTTTCCATAGTTTGGCTATTGTAGACATTGCTGCTATAAACATTCAGGTGCACGTGCCCCTTCGGATCACTACGTTTGTATCTTTAGGGTAAATACCCAGTAGTGCAATTGCTGGGTCATAGGGTAGTTCTATTTTCAACATTTTGAGGAACCTCCATGCTGTTTTCCAGAGTGGTTGCACCAGCTTTCATTCCCACCAACAGTGTAGGAGGGTTCCCCTTTCTCCGCATCCTCACCAGCATCTGTCATTTCCTGACTTTTTAATTTTAGCCATTCTGACTGGTGTGAGGTGATATCTCATTGTGGTTTTGATTTGTATTTCCCTGATGCCTAGTGATATGGAGTACTTTTTCATGTGTCTGTTGGCCATCTGGATGTCTTCTTTGCAGAAATGTCTCTTCATGTCTTCTGCCCATTTCTTGATTGGATTATTTGTTCTTCGGGTGTTGAGTTTGGTAAGTTCTTTATAGATTTTGGACACTAGCCCTTTATCTGATATGTCGTTTGCAAATATCTTCTCCCATTCTGTCAGTTGTCTTTTGGTTTTGTTAACTGTTTCTTTTGCTGTGCAAAAGCTTTTGATCTTGATAAAATCCCAATAGTTCATTTTTGCCCTTGCTTCCCTTGCCTTTGGCGATGTTCCTAGGAAGATATTGCTGCGGCTGAGGTCGAAGAGGTTGCTGCCTGTGTTCTCCTCAAAGATTTGGATGGATTCCTTTCTCACATTGAGGTCCTTCATCCATTTTGAGTCTATTTTCGTGTGTGGTGTAAGGAAATGATCCAATTTCATTTTTCTGCATGTGGCTGTCCAATGTTCCCAACACCATTTATTGAAGAGGCTGTCTTTTTTCCATTGGACATTCTTTCCTGCTTTGTCAAAGATTAGTTGACCATAGAGTTGAGGTCTATTTCTGGGCTCTCTACTCTGTTCCATTGATCGATGTGTCTGTTTTTGTTCCAGTACCATGCTGTCTTGATGATGACAGCTTTGTAATAGAGCTTGAAGTCCGGAATTGTGATGCCACCAACTTTGGCTTTCTTTTTCAATATTCCTTTGGCTATTCAAGGTCTTTTCTGGTTCCATATAAATTTTAGGATTATTTGTTCCATTTCTTTGAAAAAAATGGATGGTACTTTGATAGAAATTGCATTAAATGTGTACATTGCTTTAGGTAGCATAGACATTTTCACAATATTTATTCTTCCAATCCAGGAGCATGGAACATTTTTCCATTTCTTTGTGTCTTCCTCAATTTCTTTCATGAGTACTTTATAGTTTTCTGGGTATAGATTCTTAGTCTCTTTGGTTAGGTTTATTCCTAGGTATCTTATAGTTTTGGGTGCAATTGTAAATGGGACTGACTCCTTAATTTCTCTTTCTTCTGTCTTGTTGTTGGTGTAGAGAAATGCAACTGATTTCTGTGCATTGATTTTATATCCTGAAACTTTACTGAATTCCTGTACAAGTTCTAGCAGTTTCGGAGTGGAGTCTTTTGGGTTTTCCACATAGAGTATCATATCATCTGCAAAGAGTGATAGTTTGACTTCTTCTTTGCCGATTTGGATGCCTTTAATTTCCTTTTGTTGTCTGATTGCTGAGGCTAGGACTTCTAGTACTATGTTGAATAGCAGTGGTGATAATGGACATCCCTGCCGTGTTCCTGACCTTAGCGGAAAAGCTTTCAGTTTTTCTCCATTGAGAATGATATTTGCAGTGGGTTTTTCATAGATGGCTTTGATAATATTGAGGTATGTGCCCTCTATCCCTACACTTTGAAGAGTTTTGATCAGGAAGGGATGCTGTACTTTGTCAATGCTTTTTCAGCATCTATGGAGAGTATCATATGGTTCTTGTTCTTTCTTTTATTAATGTGTTGTATCACATTGATTGATTTGCGGATGTTGAACCAAACTTGCAGCCCTGAAATAAATCCCACCTGGTCGTGGTGAATAATCCTTTTAATGTACTGTTGAATCCTATTGGCTAGTATTTTGGTGAGAATTTTCACATCTGTGTTCCTCAAGAAT